TCATTCATTTAGATGAGGGTATTATTGCAGTGAAGCCGGCTCTGGTGAGTGGAAAATTTATATTCATACACCTGGTTAGGTTAAATAATATACAATCAAGGCGTATTGTAAACTCAAGCATACTATTAATTGCTCAAGACTGCTTTCACCACTTGGTATCTTATGTGTTGCGTGTAAACTGCGTGCAACGTGAAGCGTAATACCAGCAAAACGTGAACGCGAACAGTTTGATCTTATTAACGTTTCCATTCGTCGCTAACACGTGGTGGCAAACAAGGTTTCGCATCATGCTACGCGACAACGCCGATGCATCATCGATGGCCTGTTTCCAATAAACTGAACCAGACGGCTCAGGTCCTGTCATTAATCACCCGGTCTTGAACGACGGGTTACATGAGAAAGGGGTGGTTTGATGCTAACACGTTGGCCAACAACTAATGTTCGAAATATCTCGAAAAAGTGTCAGCAAATCTTGAAGCCCGTTAAATTATTCCAACTCTTTTTCCTGGCACTATTTTCTAGATGATTTGTCACTTTGACAGAATTATTAAGTGAATTCTTCTTGTTTATTTGTCATCTGGGCTATAACAGAAAACGATCGGAGATTATATTGATGAGACAGTTGAGGATGATTTAAATTGAAACTTTTAAGAAGAGATACTGACAGTGACGGTTTAATTGACGAGAAGACGAGCAGGTGACACATTGGCACGAGACGACGGGATATCTAAGCCGTCTATCTTTGTGAATGATAGCGCAGCACATCCTTCGGTTGAATGAGCCTCCCTCAGCGTTCGCGAGAGTCGGCAGGAAATTGATTGGCTTCCCCAGTATCTCTACGACTGAGATTAATTCCCTTCGACCTTCAACCGTGTAATTCCAGGTTACAACTTCACACCAGGTAGCTTTTGTATACCCAATATCCTACTGTTTAACCTAACACTACTTCATGTTAAGCTAAGCCACTCGATTATATATTCCACGAGAAGAACCGTGTGGCTATTAGCACATTTGAAACAATTATTAGAAGCCATTTAAGTTTATTTGTACTCATCGGCTTTACATTGGAAAGGTCAATAACTGACCCCTTGCTAACAACTACATGGCTTGTTTGACATAATGAAAACATTACCAAAGACTTTATTTTAACGTCAAAATATTATTTCATTATTACAAAGCTTTTACTGATAATTAATTTTATTGATTATTCAGATAAGAATTTGTGATGGAAAATGTAATTGGTTTTTAAGAGAATTTCATTATAAATCATTTACTTTTTAATCAAACTTAAGATTTAAAATATGTAAATAATTTTCTAATAATTTTAGAATGTATTATAAATTTATCGGCACTTTATTAAATAATTTGGTTCATTATTAATTACCATTAAATATACCTTCCGGTTCATTTATATATAAATAATTAATTAATAAATTCTATAGCATTTGAAGAGTTATTTATTATTAAAATTAATAGAATTGAATACATATTAATAATTGTAAATAGTATTTTTGTTCATATTGGAAAGTTATACATATGATGTATCAATATTAAAAAATTTATCCAAATAAATTAAAATATTATCCATTGTCTTCAATTTTATTGTAATTCATAAACTCAAAAATGGATATAAAAGGTAGGTAAAATATATTCAAAATGCATACCTGAGATATTTTACGTTTACAACATGTACACAGATATGTACAATAACGATCAAATATTTTGAAACTACAATAATCCATTATATAACAAATAAAAGTCCAGAAGATATTTTGATATAAATTGTTCCTATAAGAAGAAAAAAATACCAATTAACAAAACACTAACTAAACAAAATATTATTTTTGCTACAAGCAGAAAATATTATTAAATAGGAAAAGTAAACAACATTAAAATGCTTTTATTGTAAATTTTAATGTAAATTTTCTCTATGTATTTCTCAAATAAAAAGTTATTGTATTTTATGGAATAACTCGAAAGTGGCTTCAAAGGCTTCAAATCGAAATCCGTTCAACCATCCTCGAGATATCGTCGACAAAAATTTTTTTACATATATATGTGTACTTGCATACGTATGTACACATACGCTCACATCACAAAAACTATCTAAAGTGATTACAGGAACCTCGAAACGTGAAGATTTCATAAAACTCCGATTTGAAATTCATTTCGAGGAAATGATGGAATATAAAAAACTATTTACTCAACAAAAAAAACACATAATAAAAATATCTTAAAATTTTTTATACATATTTTTTTCTAAATGTCTATCTACATTGGGGTTCAAAATTAATTAATATCTAACGTTCAAATTTCCCCGAAATTGACATTAAATTGACATTACATTGACGTTTCAATGAAACTATAACGCATTATTGGAAGAATGCAGCCCTGATGAAACTCAGTGTTCATATACGATGATTTATTATCTATTCTCATAGTGAGGTCTCATTAAGAGATGATTTTAAAAAATTTAATGAGAATCTATATTCATAAAAAATTTCTATAAAACTCTTTTACCATTAATTGCAGTTTTCATGATACATAAATGGTTACTCATATTTTTTAAAACAAATATTAACAAATAATAAAAAAATTTATAACACTATTTGTATTTCTTACTGAATTACCAATGTTTTGAGTGCAAAGTTTACTCACAAACTAACATTTTAAAAGAACATTTAACCTCGATTTAACCATGATTGTGTGAAAAATATGCAATGAAGTATAAAAAGCAAAAAATTTACAAAAAGCGTTAAGAGTTTTTTACTGTACATTCTGCTAAATGCAAATGACAACCTTCTATACTTCTATTTATACATAGACACTCTAAAAACCTCAACTCCACCTCGAGTTACTGTTTTCATATAGAAAATGATTTAATTAATTAAGCCTTTTTAATAAGTAACTTATTCAAATATCTTCTCCAAACTGATCTCCATTGAATTATTATTATATGCATTTGTAAGATGAATATTATTTGCAAAAACAATGGATAACAATGCAAACCACTGGTAACATAATTCATAATTGTTACTTTCAGTTAATGTTAACCTTCAGATTGAAAAAAAATGTGAATGTTAATTAATTACAGAACTGGAATAAATTCTTATTGGATCATTATAGAAATTGTAAATATATAATTATTTTAGTTTGAAGAATCATTAAAAAGTGAACATCAAGTACTTTTTTAGCAGCTATATTTCTGCTGAAAATTATCGTAGTTTGATCAACTGGAATGCAAATGAGAAGTTTTCTTTTTCTACTTCAGAGTCGATGCTTTTCTGGTTGAGCCATTTGAAAGGATATCATGAGTGATATCATGAGTGGTGTTGTTAGACTTTAGAAAAATAGAAAAAAGAATTTTATAAAATTCTCTTTCTATATAGTAATTCATTTATTTGATTTTTTTTTATTTCACATGATGAAAGATACTTTAAAATGTTAAATAATTTCTTGCTGATCGTTATGCAATCGTTTTTTTCAAAAGTAATAAATGCTCAAAGTTAAAAGTGAGTTTCTGCTTTGAGAGCTTATATCATTGTGAAAAATGGTCATAAGAGAATTTTCAAAAAGACATTTTAAAGGAAAAAGCACAAGCTTTGGTGGAGCAATCCATTCGGATTCCTATAAAAATTTTTCAATTCGATGAAATAGGTCATAAAAAATTTTGAATCAGCATTACGTGAAATAAAAACAACGATCCAAATAATTTGATAATTTAATGCTTTCAAAGCTGATAAGTATTAATTTGTTTTATAGTTTAGTTGTCTAGAATACTGGAAAGAAATTTGTGAATGTCGGAAATAATAAATTACACTGGAACAGAATTAAATTTATAGTTACAAATGGAGTGTCCGGTGTCCTTGTGGTTTGGAGAGCGTTTCCCTTGTCTCAGCAGGGTTGTTTGCGTCAAGTGGTGGTGACTGAACTCTATTGTCTCCGTGCAAGTGAAAACCGTAGGTGAGAGAAGTAGAGTGAAATTGGTGCATGTATGTAAAGGTACATCTCACATTTAAGATAGAAAACACACCTCGATTTTGTTCATTCAACTAAAAGAAGGTCGAAGTGTAAAGAAGATTTCTCACTCTGTTGCATAAATTGAATGGAAACTCAATTCATCTCTATTTGATCCACAAGGAAAGAATTTTTAGTGCTGTAATAGATAGAAAATTTATTTTTGTAATAGTTATGATTTTTTTGTATTAACAGACGAAAACTACTGGAAAGCTACGGATGGAAAAACAAGTATGTCGCCGTAATAGAGAAAAAATTGGTTGCAGCTGTGCATAAGCACTATAGCTAAAACAAAAACGACCAGTTGTAGTAACAGATAATTATTCCTAAATGCACATTATACTCACAAGCGGTATATATAGACTGAAATACATAACCTCTTGTTCACTTCATCCACAATAACCATTCTTTCAAAAAAAATTTAATGATCTTAAGTTATGTATATTACTGGATAATTAATCATTTTTTCTAGGAGCAAAATTTTCTTACAACCACTGCACAATCAAGACTCTTGCCAAACCATGTCTTTGATCTATTCTTGCAACAGGAAATTTCTTTTATGTATAAATGAAAGACGTTGACATGATGTTGTATCATATCTTAAAAGTAAATATTGTGCATCATAACATCACTGTATAATCACATCGTATATAAGCTCTTGTAAACTCCGCTTTTGATTGGAAACGTGAGAAAATACCGTCATGAATTTCAGTAGCGTGTGTAAACTTCTGTTAATCCTCAGGTTGTTCATCAAACAACATGCCTTGAGTTTCGGTGGCTGAATTGTATAAACAAAATTATAACTCCATGCTTTGAAGAAGAGCTTCGCATTTGTTATTTGAATTCGAATCCAACCAAATATTTATTTTAGTTGAATGTTGGTCATGATGGTTTCTGCTATTTTCTGTCTTTATTTTGATAAAAAGTTCCAAAAATTTCCGCTAGCGCTAGCTGATGGATGTTTAAAAGATTAACTCCAAAATAATGCCGGTTGTCACTGTGTAAAAATGCATTTTTTCTAAACTAAAGAATTAAAAAATCTTTTGTATATTACCTTGAAAATTATAATTTTTCTAATCTGCGATTATTTTTGTACTTTAAACATATTTATTTTTTAATTGTCATCGTTGATGTAATTGATTACTTGACAATGAAACATTGATAACCTTCAAATACCCTACATAAGTATCATAATTATTCATCAATGTTTGTATTTTTTATTCATAATAATTAATATTCTCTAAGATGTTGCTATAAATTAACTATAATGAATGATTATTGATTTGTGTTGCAGATTTATTCAAGTTTAATCAGTGGTAAAATGTATTGAGTTATCTTTATTAATCTTAAATAAATCACTTCATTGACATCTGATGTTGATTGTATAAATACTATTATGGAGAAATATTTACAAATAATTCAGGTATTTTAAAGATATATGTATGTTCAACGACATATTATCAAGTTTTTTTTTTAATTTACTTTAATATTGATTTGTGTTCTTTCCAGGTTAAAAAAAAGATCACTCTATGATAAAGTTGATAAAGTTATGTGTAAAATTAAAGCAATTTACTAAATTTATAAGTAATCAATATAATAGCAAAGCCATGTCGGGGATGAAAAATGGAAGATTTAATGGATTAACGGAAGAAGAAGTAAAGAAAAAAGATCCTTTGCCTGATTACCTTGAACCAGACTTAGACATTGTTTTTCTTGGAATAAACCCAAGTTTAATGGCTGCCTTCAAAGGAAGATATTATGCTGGTCCTGGGAATCATTTTTATAAACTCTTACATGCTTCTGGATTGGTGCCACAATTTGTCAGCTTTGAAAAAGATTGCGAACTTCTTAAATATAAAATTGGTCTGACTAATATAGTTGATAGAGCTACTAGATCTTCTGCTGACTTGACTGCTACGGAAATCAAAGAGGGATGCAATAAAGTAGTTGAAAAGTTAAAATTTTATAAACCTAAAATTGCTGTTTTCAATGGAAAATGTATTTATCAAGTTTATGCTCGACAGCTTGGGAAGACAAAGTTTGATTTTGGTCTTCAATCAGAGAAAATTAGTGAAACCGCAGTTTGGGTTGTTCCTTCCAGTAGTGCAAGATGTTCCAACTTTCCTCGAATGACTGACAAATTACATTTTTACCAAGCTATAAATAAACATTTACAGTATTTAAAAGGAATTGAGAAAGATGTTGATGTTAAGCAATTTTACTCGATGAATCAGGGACTAACTAGACCCAAGAAAGATAAATCTAAAAAAAGTGTTCAAAAAGAATGTTCTCAATTCGTAATTACAGAAATTCTTGATGGATCACAAAAATTTAAAGAAACAAATGATGAAGAAAAGGGAAAAATTTACATAGAGGACAATGAAGATCTTGAAGAAAATGAAGAATATTCATGTGATAGTGAAAGTTCGATATCGGTATCTGATAATGATGATAAACCATCACTAAATTTAAAGCCTCAAGAATCTAAGCTTGATAGTTCTCATCAAAATCTAATTAAACTAAAAAGTGTTACGTGTGGTTTTAATGATTCTAAAAATGATGAAGATGAAAAAAAAATAGAAACTAATCTCAAAAGAAATTGGAAAGACACTCAGACAATTAGTAGTTCACGAAGAGTGACAGTTCATGATGAAAGGGATGAAGTAAACTCTATAGGTGTAATTAAGCAAAGACTTGTAGAAAAAAATGAAGAAAATGTTGAAGTTACTAAAAATACAAAAAAGTTGAACTTTTCTAATTTACGAAGGAAGAAAAGTTAATCCCTGAATTGAAACTAACGTACTTTTATTGTATACTATTTTTACATAATTTAATAATCTTGCATATTTTTTGTACATAATTCTATTTTCATAAAATTTTGTAATATTTTTTTGTATTATTAAATAATATGAAAAAAATTTGATAAAATATTGAATCGTATATAGGATTATTGTTGATATTTTACAAACTTTTTTAAAAATCTCATTGCTTATTTCAGATGATTAAAAAATATACCAAAATTTTCATTAGTTTTCGAAAAATGGCGGATCTGTGATTGATGATTTAAACATCAAGAAATGAAGAAAAAGAAAAAGCAAACATGGCAGAAATTATACGAACATGGCTCAGATCAAGACTTGGTGTTATTATAGACCTAACACCGACAGTTTTTGGTCATTATTGTAGGGATGGAACATTTCTTGCAAAGCTTTTACACAGCTACGACATTATCAGTGACAGTCAACTAAATACAATAATACCAACATCAGATCCAGCATTGGCTCGTGTAAATTTACGTCATTTACGAGTTTGGTTAAAATTTATTGGAATAACATGCGATGACAAGACTATTCGAGATATTTCTAATGGTAAAGGTACGGCTTCTTTACGGCTGTTCTATAAAGTCTTTTTATGTTTGGAAAACAAAGATAGGCTACATTTTATTACTCTTGAGAAGGAACGAGAAAAATATATACCAACTTCTACTAAATTTGATGTTAAAGTTGTTTCTGAGGATACTTCTTTAGATGAGTTACCAAAACATCCACTTTCTAGTTTACTCGAAGATAATGAAAATAATTTGGAGTGGTACAAAAAGAAGTTTCAACGAATTACTGATGATTTCAGACGAGAACGTGAATCTTTTCGTGAATCTCAGAAATCTAAAGTATCATTACAGCTGTCATCATCAACAAAATTTGATTCCGCTCTGAATAAAGAAATTGCAAAAAATAGAGAGCTAGAGGAACTTGATTCTTTTGCAAAGAAACACAAAGTAACATCTAGACAACCAAAATTTACGAAAAGTGACCAATCGAAAAAAGATGCTAATGACTTTCATCTTCAAAAAGATTCTGATGTTACGAAAGAATTCATGAATATTTTAAAGAGAAAAAAACAACAAGCGATAGAAATATATAATTTTAAGAGTCAAATGCAAAACATGTTACTTTCTCAAGTGTGGGAAAAAATGGAGAATGATCAGGAAAAAGAATTTGATAAAATCATAGCACAAAAAGTTTTGCGTCAATCTCAGTATGAAAAACAAATGATCCGTAAATTATGTGATATTCGGAATGAAAAAAGGAGATTAGCAGCTAATCGGCAGTTGGTTGATGAATTGATGCAAAAAACTCGCGAGAATCATATCAACATGATTCAAGAAAGTGAACGACAAATTGAATTATGGGAAAATGAAGAGATTGATGATGAATGTCGTAGACGAAATGAACTTCATCAGCGAATTAAAAAAGAAAAACTAAAAATTCTTCGGGAGAAACATTGTCAAATTACAAACAGCATAATAAATGATATTGTCAATATTGCTATTATAGCGGTAGAAGTTAAACACAGTAATGATGGCATCCTTCCTGAATACATGTGGAATGATTGGAAATGTTTATTCGTGCATAATATACCGATAATTGAACCTTTAGAGAATAAATCTTTCAACGGTATCGAAGAATGTGTAGAGGAAATTGTAGCTAATAATCCTTCTAAAGATAATATTTTAAGTGAAAAAGATTTCGAAGATTATCATCACTTGAAACCACCGTGGAATGAATTTATTCCTGAACTTGATCAAGAAAGTGAAGAGTTTCTATACTTGGGAATTATTGTTTTAGGATATATTATTCATAAAGTATTTAATTCAACTCTTTTGCATTCTTCAATGTCTTTAAAACAAAAGCTTCCAGATGTTAAAGTACGAGCTGTAGTTCTTGGAATTCCTGATCCATCTTTTTACCCGCAAATTCAAGGATTATTAAAACACAAAAAGATTAAATTAGTGCTGGCTGCTGATGCGATTAATTATTGCTTACTAAAATACAAAGCAGAAATGAAGAATTATGAACATATTGAACTGGATATTGAAGTAAATAAATCTCGAAAAAATTCCCAACAATCGGTTGTTACTAACAAATCAAATAGTTCATCAAAACAGACAACTAATAATAATAATAAAAAATCTAAGAAAACCAAAACTAGTAGTATTGATTCAGAGGCTCACGGTAAAAACGTTATAGACAAACAAATTCAAACTCCAAAAAATATTCCTTATGATGATATGGATCCTGTATTAAGTAACACTGCATATATTGGGAAATCAATCCATGAATTTTTTGTGACTGGTAAACCTATTTCAGACGAATTAACAGCACAGTCAATTTTCGAATACTTGAAGAGTTTAAAAGATATTCGAGGTTGGGTATTACTTAACTATCCTAATACGTATGAACAAATGGTGTGCTTTGAACGCATATTATCTGGAAATAATTTACCAGACCTATGGGAGTCAATTCAATCTAACGACCTCAGTTGTGAAGATGATATTCTTAAAATAAGTACTCATTCTTTCAGAGATACTTTTCAATCTCAGCACAGAGAATCAATAAAGTCTTTAAGAGATTCAAAACTTATACCGAATCCTTTAAATGAAATAAATAGCCTATTAGCAACTTCTCATTTAACTGCATTCATTCGAATGCTTCCGAAACCAAAGAAAGTTGATGTTCATCCTGAAGAATTATTTGAAATACGTCCTGAAGACTCGACTATTTTAGATGAATTTTATAAAGACCAAGGATTGGCCTCTGTAGTTTATTATTCACATTGTGATTTTTCTACCATTAAAAGAGTTGCAAGACTTATTATAGGAGAAACTTCTTTACCCAGAAAATCTTCTACAGAATTATTCGGTCAAGTATCAAAGGATGTAGATCATGTTGAAGGAAGAAGCCAATTAAATAATGAGCAAAGTTTTAAATCGGCTTCTAAAGAATTCAAGGTAGAAAATCGTAAACCAAAGCCAGGAGAACCTGATTGGTCTTGGGTAGATTTGCCTGTGCCTCAAAAAATTTCTAAAGCTCTAACATTAATGTGGCAAAACTTGGAGGATATTTATATTGATGGATTAAAAGATGTTTTTCTTCAAAGAAGATCTACTTTTTTAGCGATTATACCTTATAAAGAATTTGTTCGTCAAAAAATGGTCAAGCTTTTAAGTGAACCCGATGGAAAACAAGCACTTCTTAAAAATTTTCAGAAGGCTTTTAATGAAATTCCTGAAGAAGCAAGAGATGATGATGAAATGAAGAATGAACTACATTATAAAGTGTCTCAATTTCAAACAGAATTATGGAATATTTGTAATGTGAAAAGACGAGAAGCTCAAGAAGAACGTAAAAGCATTATTCTTAATCATTGGACAGCAGTTCATGTAATCGATTTAATAAATATTTACTTAACAATAATTCAATTTGAAATGGATCGTTTCATAGATACTCTTAAGTTGATTCAAACTTATTATTTATCAATGCTTCAGCGTCCACTTCAAGATGAAAAGTTTTTGAAAATCCGGTTGAACAAACTAACTTCCGATTCTGATAATTCTGTTAAAGTAGAAGGAAATTTATCTTCTCAAGTATCTCTAGAAGATGAAAATAAAAGTAAGAATTCTAAACTTAAAAATTTTCTAGTGTTTGATGTAAAAGAAAATGATATCAAAAATGAAATTTCTAAAATGTTAGTGAATCTTGTAGAAGTTTCAGATAACTTTCGACAGCTGTGTTGTTATAAGATTATTGAATCAACCACCGAGTTTGTTGATTCTATCATTAAAAATATGCTCCATTTTATAACTATTAGCTTTCAAAGTAAAGAAAAACCTTCGTCATCAAGACGCTCATCTGATCGTAAAGGAAAAAGAAAATCATCAAAAAAAATATCAATATCATCTAGTTCGAAAGAAGAAATTAATGTAATAAATGAACGATTTGAAGATGTATTTATTGAATGGAAATATGCAGCAATGTATGAAATAAATAGAATTCAAATGAGAGTTAAAATTTTAGAGGCTTCTGTTGAATCAGATATAGATTATCTTTTACGAAATATGCAACATACTTTCATTTCTGTACATGAAATGATTAATAAAAAGTATGAAAAAGAAATGAAAGATATTGATAATGTCGTAAATATTTTTTGTTTAGCAATAGAAAAAGAAAAATCGATTAAAGGAACAATGACATTCAGTACTGATGATCTAAATATTTCTGAGTATATTTCAATAGATTCTAGAAGCGAGTCAGCTTCTCTATCTATAAAGGAACAAATTGACGATTTAAAATTTTCACCTGAACAGTTAGGACGTCTTAAGGGTATTTTTCAACATGTTGCACCATCTGGGTTACTCGCAGAGCGTTCATTTATCTATATTCTTCAAGATCTAATAGTGTGTGGTAACTGTGATCAAACTGCTTCACTACCTCTTTCTTGGTACAAACTTACATCTCAAGATGTTGTAGAAATGGTTGATAAACTTTTCAATAATGACGGGTATATTGATTGGCGTGAATTTATTATTTCACTCATTGATATTGCTATGCCTGATCAAGATGAACTTCTAGACGCTCGTGAAGCTTTTCAAGCGAAAGATCCAAAGTTTACAGAACTTATTTTCAAACAAGACTTCCTCTTAACTCCATTGTGGTTTTTAAAATCTACAGACTTTCCGTTGATTAGATCTTCACTTCACAATGACTTCGATGTAGATGAAGAAGAACAGCTGGAAGAAGAATTAGGTATAAAAATAAACAAGAAAATGGTTAAATCGATTATTAAATTAGAAAAATATCAAAGGAATTCGTTATCAAAAGTTTCATCCAAAGAAAAAATTAATCCAGAGCATGAAAAACTGCAAAAAGAAGAGATGATGAAATTAAGTTTAATTAAACAACTTCTTTCTGAACTTTTTCTCGTTAATTATTGTACTATTAATTACATGGCAATGTTATTGGCATTTTGTAAACATGAAAATCCTAGTTATGGTCTAGGTAATGCTATCAGTTTAACACTAGGAAAAAAAATTTGTCTTGATTTTAATCAAGGTGAAAAATATGTGAATGGACTCTTGGAAGAAAAAAGACTAGAAAGTAATTTAAAATTGCTTTTGCGTCAAGAAATATTTGAAGTAAGTTAATTATTTTCTTTGTTTAAATATGATAGAAGATAATAATGTAATTGTGAATATTATTATAGTTTTGTCATGGACTCATAGAAATGGTCATTGATGAAATAATGGACAATTATGAACTGACACTTGTGGAAATTTTGAGTACCTCTAATGTTGATAGTGATGTAAGAAAAAAAAAGCAAATTGTGATTGGAAATCTCGATTCGTCAAGAGAATCTAGTGATCCTGTAAACCAGTTGATTGAAAAATCTCCATTATCTGACAGTAATGAAACAAATGATAAAATTTGCAATAATTTATCAGATATCAATAAATCATCGCTGATAGCCATAACAAATAATGAAAAATCTATTAGTACGCGAGAAATAGTTTATTGGATACCAACTAAAGTGTTTGAGGTAAATTTATATCAATATTAATATTGAAATATTATTAATTTGTTAAATTATTTATGTTTTAATGAAAAACATTTATACTTTTATCATTTATTTTTCAATATAAAATACAGAATAAAATATTTAAATAATTAATCCACTCGACGTATGCGTCAACATGAGGAAAACTGACACTCACTCAGTTTTTTGCAGGCGATTATCTCCTTTGGTATTTTTTATATTTCAGTCGGTTTTATTAAGCATGACCACACTCAATATGAATCAAAATGGTGAATTTCATATAGCAACACCATTGAATGAATATTTTCAATCAATTTACCGAGAAATTCGATGTAGAGAGATTGAAGAAAAATTGGACATCGTACTAGTTCACCGGCTACTCCATTATCCAAAAATTGTCCAAATGCTTCAATTGACTAACCAATTTACTTGTAAAAATACAGTCAACGTAGTCGCAGATTTGTTAAATAAGCATGAACAAATCACTCATGATTAGATTATATTCGTAGTAAGTATATGGAAAGATAATTTACCAAGATTATTGATATTTTTAAGAAAAATCAATATCCAATTTCAGACAATATTTTTGGAGCTTGACATTATAATCTATTGTAATCAATACTCAGTGATAATAATGGTATTTTTATTTAATATTTTGTTTTAAAAGATAGTAAATATTTATTCTAAGTTCTCTATTTATTATAAAATAAACAATCAAAAATTAGTCATATTCTATTAAAAATAATATGCATTTACAAAAATTTAAGGATAAATAATATGATGTGTTAAACAGTAGATAAATATTTTATAATGTTGAAAATTAGTTATTAGATTAAATCAATGTTAAGTTCAATAAGTAATTATTTTTCTGTACTAAACTGTTTGAAATTTTATGTTTATTATCAACTTTGATCTTCATAATCAAATAATATTCTATAAATATAATTATAATCTTTCATATTTTCTGTTTAATCTTAGAAAGTTTAGTCTCGCTGGATGTAATGTTCGTCAAAGTCTTCATATAGAAGAATTAATTGATGAACGAACCTGCTTCTAACTTCAATTGAATATCCTTATTGAATTGGCTCAAGAAATGTTTGTTCATTAGCTGAAGAGTCAAGAAGAAAGATAATTGGTTCTTCCCTTAGGATTCAATGTTTATTAGTTCCATACACTACAGTTTTATCAGTATGTAAGGAAGTTTTGCAACTATAGTAATTTATCGAATTTGATATACATCGATAATAAACAGCCGAAGCTGAAGAAGAGTCGATAGGAAAATCATAATGTAAGTACTTTGATTTTTATACTTAACGAGATTTATTATTAAATCATAAGGTAATCGTTTGAAGATTTTTTGGAATTTTCTGGTACAATTTTCATTATTAGTTTAATTTTTAAAGCTGCAAATGTGAATTGAAGTTGATTATCAGTACTATAATTTTTAATCTTTAGGTAATGGTATAATAGTTTCAATTATTCTTGAGAGTATATCATACTAGCAAATATTTCATAAATACTTAGCGATTATCTAGTGCCTTAATATTGTTTAGTATCACTATCTGTCTTCACTGATGGATAGTAATTTTTGATTCGCTGACTTCACGAGAAATAGTTTCTTCATTATGGAAGACGACCATTACGTTAGAAATGAAAAAGTTGAATCTACATTTCTAGAAAATGATTTTTCGTTAAAAAAATAGGTTAAAATTTGATTGAAATGCTTACAATAATTGAGTATAAAATGTAAAACAAATAACAATTCATTTCTCGTGTGACAACTTTTGCTCTCATAACTTTGCAATCCTTAATCTAGTCTTATTTACGTAATAATCATTAATAATATAATACAATGAGCACGAAGTAAAATAGCAATTATTTTCACAATAATTTATAACTTTTCCCCAGTTTTCATCATTTATGATATCAAGAATCGTGAATGAGTTATCAATTTCACAGCCCTCAACTCGCTAGTTGATGTTTTAAGTATCTTTATGTGGTACAATGAAATTAAGTGAGATTATGTAAATAAGAGTACTTATCAAGATATCCATAATATGCAACCTATTAAATTTCATTTCTATTTTTTTTATCTAATCAAGTCGCTATGTTGAATTTTTCATGTCAATTCATATTTGCATGCTACTGTATTCTGTTAGATTTCGGTATCATCAACTAGACAGTATAATAAAGAAGGTTTTTTTCATGGAATAATTGAAGTATCCTCGTGACTTTCAGCCATAAAGCATGCAATCGAGCCTTGAAACAAATTACAGAATAAACATTGATATCTTTACAAACAAATAGTATGATTGTAAAAAAATAAGCCTGACTTTACAGTCATTTACATTGTGGAATTAAAACTTTTCTACCTCAGAACATATTTTATTACATAATTCTAGTTTCTTCATCAATTTGTTTTTCTCCAAATACTTATTCTAAAATTATTCATGCACCAAGTCTTTTTATTTAAATGCTCACATTGTCTACCACTCATAAACTGTCAAATCACGCATTCTAATTGAAGTGAAAAAATTGTATGATTCTATAAAATAACTTCAAGACAACCAGTGGACTATGTAACTCATTTAGTGCAAACATGTATCGCTCAACGATAGTACAAACAAAACAATATTACTTAATAATTAACTTACAATTTTATATCATTGGTAATTGGAATTGAATTATTTTATAGAATGAATTAAATTATGACCGTTATTTTTACGAATTTTAAAACATTGCTCCAATTATTATTATTATTGTTTATTTTTTGGCACGTTTTAAAATTCATTTTATTTAAATATCTATTATTAAACGCGTTACTTTAAAGGGACAATAAAAAAATATGGGATCTCAAACGACAACGTGACCTAATGACAACTTTTACTTCCACTTTCATTCATTTTTCATTTTTTTTAAGTCTTGTCTTTTTTCATTATACTTCAGTATTATAGTTTATTGATTTGTTGAAAGTTTTTTTAATGTAAAACTTCAACCAAACCAAGGTAGTCATCAGCTTGCAGATTGAGGTGGGCTTAATTTAACTAAGAGCCAAGTGTAGAGTTTTGGTTTTTTCTTATCAACCAGCTCATATCTTAAATTCGATAATCCATCTGTTGCAAATCTTTTCTTTCCTGATTTTAGATATTCGTACCTAAAAAATTATTATAGTTATTTTTAAGATGTTGATAAAATAGTTGATGTAACACATTGAAATTATGATTGAATATTACCTCTTAGGATTAGCTTTTTCTTTTTCATGAGACAGCATCTTGTATCGTGCGATAGGGAATGGATAACGTGAAATATGGAAACCTTTAGCTTTTATACGGTTCGCCATATCGTCGTCTTCTGCACCCCAACCCCAAAATAAATTACTAAAGCCATTAACATCACGAAATTGAGCCTTTGTCATAGCAGAAACTCCTCCAAATAAGTCAGCGTAAGGAAGTCTAAAATTGAACATTTTTATTAATTAAAAAAAGATTTGTGTTGTATCATAAACAAAAATTTAAACCTACACATAGATGCTTAGAAGGAATATCTTTGATCATGATTTTTTACTTTATATAATCTTATTAGAAACTTAACAACTTTGATGAAAGTTGTAACTCAAGAAAAGCTTTTTGTATTAAAATATTAATTGCTCCATTATAAAGTAAATTCACATTAAGTCTTGATTAAATTTTTGTTCAAAGGTAATTTATTACTAACTTTATTAAAATAATAAGACACAAGCAGTGCACACGGCAACGTATGCCAACATAAAATTTACATCTAAAAAGAAAATTTGCTATTTAAAAAAAGGGAAAATATGTGTTGCTTTATCGATAAAAATTTCTTGTAGCATTAAAAATACTCAAAATTTATTTTTCTATACTAATACGTTATGAAATATAAAGTATTCTTTATAATTAATAGCAAACTTTTTAATAATAGTGTTTTTGTTTCAGTGTATGCATCACATGATTTGATTGGATCGTTAATTAATATAATTATTTACAAACTTGTAATTGAACTTATCCACTGCCACCGACATGTGCCGAGGTTGCTCAGGACAGGTATAAAGGTTTCGATCGTCTTGTGGCAAAAGGTCAACGTCGTGGAAAATGAAACAGTCAAAATCCCTCTCTTTGAGAGCCTCGACATATCCAACATTCATTAGCATAGCACGATTGAACTTCGAATTGCCTAAAACAGAATCGTGTTTAAAATTTTTTACAGTTTGTTCATAGGATATTCATCGCTCATGCATATAAACATTATTTGTAAGGGCAAGTTAAAGAGAACAAGTCAAGAGAGGTAGAAAGGGAGAATAAGGATAGGAGCAAGGATGCAAATATATCCATTGCAAATGTAAACATCGTGTAGCTTGAAGTCAAGTTTAAAATATTGCAGACTAACGTATTCATTTTGACCTCGTAGTGTAGACCTCGAGTATCAAAGTGAATATCGGTCACGAGAAAAGCTTCATAGCTTTCTCTGTCTTATACTACGACGAATTTTGCTTCGGCCAAAGACGCAAAAGCTTTCAGCATAGAATCTTGAGTGGTTTGGTTCTCTTCTACTTGAGTTATTAACCTTGTTTGTTTCAGGTCTTTTAGCAATGTCATTTAACCTTCTACCTCATTGTTCATTAATTAAATATGATTTATTTTATAGTTGATAAAATTCAATATATTCATTATTTATTCAGATAAATGACTCATTTATTTTTCATTAACGTAGATAATTTTAATCTCTGATAATAAAATTTATTGCCACATTTTACTAATTTTCTTACTAGATTTTGTTTTTTTTTTATTCCTTTCTTTAATTCTCTGAATTTTCACCCATGGTTGAAAACAATTCAAGCATTCAGAGCGGATTTGCTTTTTTAAAAGAATTTCTGTTATTTTTCAATGACTTTTGTCATAGCTCTCAAATTTTTTGCTTTACTACAGTTTTTTTTAATCAAAATTCTTTGATATTCAGAAGATAAAAAAAAGGCTATTGAATTTTCTTTCGAAATTTTTAGAAAAAATTTCCAACCAATTAATAAAACAAAGCTTGATAGCTTTCAATAAATATTAATACTTTTATATATTATTATTCATTAATATAATCATCTGTCTTCATTGATTTTAATTGAATGGTTATAGTGTAATGAAATATATTTTACCAGTAAATTAATGCTTTCATTCGACTAACATCAGATATTATATGAAATACTGTCTGAATATCATATAGAAATGACTAAAAAGATAGGAATTTGAGAATATTTCATATAAATCTGGAATCTGGACTTTTTTAGATATTTTTCTTTTTTATTGCAATATTCTAGATATAAGCGGCTTTTGAACTATCTCTTGAAGGTTGTAGGTTCGGAAAATTCTCAATAAATCAATAAAAAAAATGATACTAAACTCTCCGATAAAACAAGAGCTGTGATTACCTAGATATTGCAAAAGATATTGGCTTCTTTTTGAATTAATATAAAAGTGATGATTGTATGTAAGTTTATCAATAGTCATTGTTTCTAGAACTTGTAGTTGATTTTATGTTGAATGTTATAATAACAATAAGTGATAAAGATTACGTACATAGTCATTTATATTTGAATTTTTATCTCCAAGTCTATCAACCATGTGCTAATACATTTTTCCACTTCCTTAAAGTTAATTGGTTTATAAAATACTCAATTTTCTTTGCTTTTTGCTTCTTTTTTTTTTACCTGACTCACTCAACTCTCCCATGAGTGAGCACGAAATCGAAGTTGTTGCGGTTCAATAACCAAAGACTCGATCTTCAAAACATGAATGCTAATCTTTCTGATGATAAGTCAAGTGGATAAGAAAACCACATAATGTAGAAAAATCTGTTTCTTTCTTCAGCTTAGGTATCTTTTATATATTATTAAAAAATAACTTTCAATAATAATGATGTAAAATAAAATTAGAAAATAGTTGATATTTAATTTTGAATACCTTGGTTTAGCAACTAGTTTTAAGAGTAATCAATTCGACAATAAACAAATATCCAAGAAAATTCCAATGGATTTGTTTTTTTTTCCTTTTGTATCATTGTTGATAATGGAAGAATATAATGTACATAATATTACTTAAGCTCTGAACTAATTATCTTTTAATGAGTTGCGCTTTATCAAGCACATAAATATAACTTTAATCATTTTCGGGCTTCAATTTGACATTAATGAATTTTCGGTAATTATCAAACTTGTCGAACATGCAAAGTTATCAACAATGTCATGTTTTTAGAAAATTTTTTATATTATTTGTGGTTTATTGGTAACTTTATCTGGTTCATATGATAACCAATATTGTAGAATATTCGTGCAATAATTCAATAAACTTTCATCAGTTAAATGGTTAATTTAGTTATCCTATCAATATTCCAATGTTTTATTTATAAATCTTGTTAATGAATTTCAAATAGAATGATAAATAATCTATACAATGTTCTGAATTTGTTAATTAATTAAAAACAAAAGCTAGATAAAAATTATAAAAATAGAAGTTTGAAGCAAAGTTAAAATGATGGATGAAAAAAATTAATTTTAATTTTGCATTTTAAATTGAGTAAAAAATTAAATGGGAATTTCATAAATTGATACTCAAAGGTTAATGTAGTTGAGATGACATTTGATTCAAGTAAATTAATACCTTCCTGTTCAACGACGAATATTTGATAATCAATTTGCTGTCTTAGGAGTATTGGATGAATGTGGTAAAGCAATGTCTGGAGATGTTGAGCTCGATCCCGGAAGGGAATTATTATCGCAACTCTGTACCTCGGTATGCAATCTAATGGACATCCCCTGCCGCCTGATTTAACTTCGGTAAATGTCTTCTCTATCACCGACAGTTCTGGTGGGTTTAATAATACTTCCAGGGGACCAACTGTAACATAACCATTAGTTAGTTTACGATCTTCTTATTTCATTCAAATTTTGATGAGGTCATTTACACAGATAATTATATAATAATCCTTTCATTAATTGAATGAAGTTATGTCTTTGATGTATTTCAATAAAGAAAATATGTGATCTTTATTGGAACAGAAATTTGAGCAATGTTTTAATTAATTCATTATGATCACGAGCAAGTAATTTTATTTATAATTAAATGTTGATCCAAGTTGACAGTACTAGTAATTGAACTCTGTTTTCAATTATCATTCTCTTTAATTGCTGACTCTAGCGATGAAACTATGTTCACTAATTAGTGTGATTTAAAATAATGGTTTTCTCAAGTAAGAATTTCATTAAGAAAATAATCCTATTTCTCTAGTGTAGAATTTTTTTCCCATAACCATTAACTTACCAAGATTTGGTGGAATGAGAGGGCATTCAGGAAGGACTGAAGAGTCGGTAACATTTGCTCCATTAGATATTATACTACGAGTTGGAGTAGTTTCAGATCTGGAGACATTAGTGATATCTTCAAGAAGTGCTGCAGACTGCATAGTTGTTTTTGTAGAGTTTGAGACGTTTTCAGCTGAATAAGTTGGTGCTGTAGCCAGTCCGTAGATTATTAACCCACGAGGATGACCTCTGTACGGATGTTCAGCATATCTAAAAGTAAACCATGTTCTTTTATTTCCTCTTTGACTAATTATGGTTCAAGGAAGTTAAAGTTAGATAATCTTCACAGCTGAAGAAATTTCTTGGCAACGATATGATTATGCATTGATCGGTGTAAAATATGTTTGAGCACGTTAGTGCACTGAGAATAAATAGTAGTTATCACAGTTAATATTTTTTCTTAAAGATAAAATGAGTATTTTTAAATATTATTTATTGATCATTAACATTGATTATTTCAATAATTATAATAATTATTATAATTATTATAATAATTCTTTATGATTAAAATTTTTCTGCATAAAAAATTAAAAATAAATTAAAATATCTTCTAAATAATTAAATTATAATTGAAACGAAATAATATATGTGAAATTAATTATTTCAATCTATCAAATATTTTACATGTAATAACTCATTAACGATACGTTGAGTGATAGAAATAGGTTTGCAGAAACTAATCAAGCAATATTCGATAATTACAGCATGAGATTTAAGATGGTATTGGATTTAGCAATTCACTATTTATTCGATTAAATAGTTCAAGAAATTGCCATTCCAACTTCAAGACTAATGAACGTTTATTTGTCTTTATTTCTATTTCAGATTAATTACAGATTTTAAATCTCAATTAACTTGGTTTAATATTTTAAATTTTCTCAGCGTCAACTATTCAAAAAAAAAAAAAAAACTAATTAAAAATGAAATGTCATTAATGATTTGCCCTGATTAGAAGATTATTCAAGCTTCAACTACGTCGGCTAGACCTGATAGTCTAGCTAATTTTGCGGCAACACGTCCGGTCGACTTGTTATTATGGCACGCTACCAACTGCCCGTAAAACCACACGCACGTGTGCTGTACAAACACCATCAGTGCAATGTTCAGTCTTAGTGCATTCAATTGGCTAGCTATCGAGTGTATGACTGGATATCTCAGGGACATATCGACTCATATCAGCTATAATCGCTTATCAGGTACACAGAGAGAAAAAAAGAGGTTCATGTTCATTCTCTGAGATGGAATGAAATGTTGGAAATAATAGTCATAATAAAAAAATTTTTAATCTAAATATTTATGAATATCAATCTGTTCTCGATAAAATATTCGTCATCATCAAAGCATACAATCAACTTTAAACTAAGATTAAAGGATGACTATCAACGATACATGCTCTGATAGCTTTTATATTTGCAAATATACTCGCTTTATTTAGTTCTTAAATTTCCAATTTAGAATATTATAATCATGATTATAATTACATGAACGTAATTGCTATAGCTATAGAATATTCTTTTCCAAGTGAAATAAAAGTTTTATTGCAAAAATAGCAGACGCTGGAACCAATTTTTCATTTATATAAGTCAATAGTCACTAAATATAAAAATTATAGCTATTTTAAAATTTACATTGATTCTCATGATTAAGGTTAAAGATGAACTCTGGCTAAAAACTTTATATATTGATTAATAATTCAATAAAGTTCTGAACTTCTCTTAGAAAAACTA